TCTATCCAACTTTCAAGGATGACCTAATACCAATCTTTAATTTGTTACACAAAATAGAAAGGGTAGGAATATTACTTAATTTATTCTATAAAGTCAGTATTATACTGGTACCAAAATCAGGCAAACACATATGAACAAAAAGAAAACTACAGACCAATTTCTCTGATGAACATAGTTTCAAAACTCCTGAATAAAATATTTACAAACTAAATTCATGAACACACCAAGAAAGTCATACATTACCAAATGGGCTTCATCATGGAGAGGCAAGAATGAGGAACAAAAGAAAGGCAATAAATGTAATATATCATATGATCATCTTAGGACAGAAATCACATAATCATCTTAACTGATGCTGAAATAGTATTTAACAATGTTCAACATGCCTTTATTATAAAAGTCCTGGTAATGTTAGGAATTGGTGAAGCATACTTCAAAATAATGAATAGATGAAGCATACATCAAAAAAATAAAAAAAAAAACTGGTGGTATATAACCAACATAATGCTAAAATTGGGAAGGAGACTAGGATGATCACTCTCACAGAAAAGACAACAGAGAAATAAAGGAGATAAAAAACAGGAAAAGAAGTCAAATTGTATTTATTTGCAGATCACATGAGTATATATTTTAAAAGTTCTGTAAAATCTACTAGAAAACTTCAATCTAATACAACAAAGTTGTAGTATATAAAATCAGTATAACCTTAGAAACAATGAACTCTCAGGGAAAGAAATTAGGAAAAATATCGCAATCATTATAGTCCCAATATAATAATAATAATAATAATAATAATAATAATAATAATAATAATAACTGTACCTAATCAAAGAAGTGAACAACCTCTACAATGAAAACTTTAAAGCATTTAAAAAGAAAATCAAACAAGACACTAGAGTTGCCATACTCCTATATTGGCAAAATTAATATCATGAAAAAGTAATCTACAGATTAAATGTCATATTCCCAAAATAAATCTGCAGATTGAATACAATAACTATTAAAATTCACAGACACAGGAAAAATAATGCAAAAATCATATGGAACTACAAAAGAGCAAAAATAGTCATAATGATTCTAACAAGTAAGAATACAGTTGTGGATACAACACCTGACCTCAAACTATACTACAGAGCTCTAGTGAAAAAGATAGTCTAGTACTGGCATAAGGAATAGACAGACCAATGTAACAGAATAGAGCACTCAGAAATAAACTGACAAGGCTGTGGCTATATCATTATTTTTAAAGATTTTTAATTTTATGTGTAGGAATGTTTTTACCTGTGTGTGTGTGCGTGTATGTGTGTGTGTGTGTGTGTGTGTGTGTGTGTGTGTGTGTGTGTGTGTGTGTATTTGCATGCATGTTGCTCTAGGCCTGGTATCCATGGTGGGAGAAGAGGGTATTGGATCCCCTGGAACTGTTGTTACAGGCAGTTGTGAGCTTCCATGTGGGAATTGGAAACCAAAACAGACTTATCCTAGGAAGTGCTCTTAACTGCTGAGACATCTCTCCAGTCAACCACCTACTTTTTGACAAAGGTGGCAAAAAACATAAAATAGAAGAGAAAAAAAAGCCTATTCAACAAACATTACTGACAAAACTGGGTATCTATCAGCAGAAGATGAAATTAGATCCATATCTTTTGCCAAGAACAAACATCAACAAACTGGATTGAAGTCTTAATTGAAAACCTGATTGCTGAAACTGCTAGTTGAAAACATAAGACATGCATTTCAAGATACAGGTTTCAGCAAAAACCTTCTGAATAGAACTCTTAACAGCACAGGAACCAGCCCCAAGAATCAACAGATGAGACTGCATGAAATTAAATGCTTCTACACAGGTGTCCTGCTTTGTTCTCTTTTGCTGTAATGAAACACCATGACAAAAGCAAGTTGGAGAGGAGAGTTTCTTTGGCTTACATGTCTGGATCACTGTCCATCATTGCAGCAGAAGCCGAGGCAGGAACCATGAAGGAGAGCCACTTGCTGGTTTTCAGTGGCTTGCTCAGCTTATTTTCTTATACAACCCAGGATCACCTGTCTGGGGTGGCACCACCCATAGTGGGCTGGACCCTCCCACATCAAGCAACAATTAAGAAAATGCTACCCAGATGTGTCTATGGGCCAATCTGATGGAGGCATTTCCATAATTGAGGTTCCCTCCTCCCTGGTGACTTGGAGTAGTGTCAAATTGACAAAATCTAACAGTGCAACAGGAAAAGAAACTGTCAGCAGAGCATGAAGTACATGAAATGGGAAAACATCCTTACCAACTGTACTTCAGACAGAATTTACAAAGAATGGCAAAAATTAAACACAAAACTCATTTGCCAATCAACAAACTGATGAAATAAACAGACATCAGGAGAATAAACACAAGTGGCCAGTAACCAATTTTTAAAAGTTTTCAACATATTTATTCATTGAGGAAATGCAAATTAAAATGAACTTGAGATACCACCTCACTCCAGAAAGGCTATCATCAAAAATATTGACAACAAATGTTGGAGAGGATGTGGGGAAAGAGGACCCCTTATTTACTGATGATGGGAGCCCTAATTAAAACAACCGTTATGAAAATCAGTTTGGACAGTCCTTAAAAGAATAACAACAGAAAGACCGCATGACCCAGATGTTCCATTTCTGTGCATATCCCCAAAGGACTCCATACCCTACCACAGAGACACTTGCAAATAAATGTGTATTGCTGTAATAATCACAATTGCTAGGGAATGAGATTAGTCTAGGTGTCTATCAATAGATAAACAGATGGTACATACAAAAAAATGGAATATTATTCAACTGTAAATAAAAATAAAATGTAGGAAAATTGATGGACCTGGAAAATGTATTAACAGACATAACTCAAAATGAGAATGAAAGAAAGTTTCACCTGCATATGTGATCCTAGCCTATGAGTACATGTATCTATGTAAATAGTACAAGTGAAGGTAGTCTAAAGTGTAGAAAGGAAGTGAAGAAGGAGTAAAATTAGGTGATGAGAAAGAAGAGAATGCAGGAAAAATAACACATGAGACATAAAAGTGAATAATTTTTATTCTAGTTTCACATCTCATCATAAGTTTTTTTTTTCCTCCTGGTGGATCTATAAATTCAACTTTCTGGATATTAAAGTAGCAAGAACCTTTTTTTAAGCCAAAAGAATCTAACAAGTGTTATTCCTTTGAGTCCATGATTATGAAAGTTGGCCTTTCTTTTTAGTTCAATTGGCCACTAGTGCAAAGAGACCTAAACACAGCTAGTCACTGAAAACATTTGTCACATGAGCCACTTAAGAAAAGTGATTGAAAAAAATGTTTTGGGGGGGAGGGATGTTGTAACCTAAAACTTTTCTCTTCATTCTTCTGTTTAAAAATAAGTATGTCAAGTCATTCTGTCATGCTGCTATTTAAAATGTAAACTATACTGCTATACATGAAATAAAGTATGGTTTTCATTAAATTTTAAAAAACAGAACCTGTGTGAAAGGGATTGAAAGACAAGCTATGGACTGAAGGGAAATGTTCTTGTGTCACATACCTAACAGAGAACTTGGAGTTTATATATTGAAGCAGCTCTCAAAACATTACACTAAATAATAATCTACCAAAAAAATGGAAAATTGTAAAGACTATACACAGATGGCAAAGAAAAGCACATGAAAAGATACAGAGCAACATTAGCCACAAAGAGGAAATTCTAACCTCAATGCATACCTATTTACAATGTCTAAAATAAAATAGAAGGTTGGCAACCCAACTGCTGGTGAGAGTGTAGAGAAACTGTTTTTTAAAACTGGCTGAACATTTTCAGGGATGCCGCTGGCTGTTTCTTACAAAACTAAAGCTGCACCCTGGTCATTTGCCCTGGAGACATGAATATTTATGTTCATATAAAACCTTACCCAGGTATGTTTACAAAAGCTTTTGTGGTGGTATTGTGTTCCCCAAAATATTGTGCACCCTAATAAACTTATCTGGGGTCAGAGACAAAACAGCCACTAGATACAGAGGCTAAAAAATGGTGGCACTCAGACCTTAAATCCTAGCACTCCAGAGGCAGAAATCCCTCTAGATCAATGTGAGTTCAAGGCCACACTGGAAACAGCCAGGCATGGTGACACATGCCTTTAATCCCAAGAAGTAAGCCTTTAACCCCAGGGAGTGATGGTAGAAGGCAGAAAGATATATAATATAAGGCATGAAGACCAGAAACTAGAAGCATTTGGCTGGTTAAGCTTTCGAGCAGCAGTTCAGCTGAGATTCATTCTGGATGAGGACTCAGAGGCTTCCAGTCTGAGGAAACAGGATCAGCTGAGGAACTGGCAAGGTGAGGCAGTTGTGGCTTGCTCTGCTTCTCTGATCTTCCAGCATTCACTCCAATAACTGGCTCCAGGTTTGATTTTATTAATAAGACCTTCTAAGATTCCTGCAACAAGCTTTATTTATAATAACCCTAAACTGGAAACAAGCCAGATGCCCTTCATTGGGTGATTGGCTAAACAAACTGGAGTACAGCCACATCATTGTTTGTACTCACCAATAACAAGGAATGAACCAATAACACAGGAAACAGCCTGCAGGGCTCTGCAAAGAATTATGTTAAGGACAATGTCAACCCTGAAAAGTCACATGCTGCATGCTTCAACATATGAAATGACATCACAGGGTGGTGAACAGATGAGTGGTTTCCAGAGTTTGGAAAGGGAACAGAGAGTGGATACTGGTGGGAGATGGTTGTGGTTACAAAGAACAAGCCTTGTGGTGGTGGAAGAAGTCTTTCTTGCCTTCATTGTGGACATGGCTATGTACTTAGAAGATAAAACTACATCCCCCCCATCTCTCTCCCCCTCTCCCTCCCCCTCCCCCTCCTCTCTCTCTCTCTCTCT